CTGGAAAGAGTATCTGCCTCTCTATGCTGTAAGCACATGTAAAAATTAAACCCTACTCGAAATATCTCCAGGTTTGTAATGGGCCAGGGAGGAAGAACTTCCTCTGCCCTGTGTTCCTTCTAGCTGGACTTAGAATCAAATTGACAAGAGACAGCTTAACAGGAGAAAATAAAATGTAATAGGCATACTTAGGGGGAATCCACACAGACAAGAGATTCCAAAGACTTAGGGACCCAAACAAGGCAATCTGAAGCTTATAGGAGCTAAGGGAAAAGGTAGGGGCCAAAGGGAAGAAAATTCATGAGCCAGAAGGTAAAAGGAGATGTTTGGGAAAATAAGATGTTCCATTATGCAGATGAGTTCCTAAAGAGGACCTCTGTTAATACTTCTCTTCCTGTTGCAGTCTGACCTTTCCAGTTGTAAATTTAGGCAGTTATGGGGAAGCTGAGCACCTTTGCTGCATCTGCTGGGTTTCTAGTACTCTTTTTTTTTTTTAAGATTTTATCTATTTATTTGACAGACAGAAATCACAAGTAGGCAGAGAGGCAGGCAAAGAGAGGGGGAAGCAGGCTCCCTGCTGAGCTGAGAAGCTGATGCGGGGCTCGATCCCAGGACCCTGAGACAATGACCTGAGCCAAAGGCAGAGGCTTAACCCACTGAGCCACCCAGGTGCCCCAGGCGCCCCAGGTGCCCCTCTATTACTCTTAACCAGAAACAGTCTTTATACCATTTGGGGGCAGCCTGCCCTGGGCCCTACAAACCCAGGTCCAAACTTCCCAAGACCTAAGACAAAGTACTTCCCTCCTGAAATCAGAAATCTACGGATCCTTCTCCTTCCAATCAGTTACGACTTTCTCCTCAAACCTGGGCACTTGTTGCCAAATGAAAATGAACATTCCAAACATAGGTCTGCAAGTCAAAAATGTACCATGATGGCACACCAGAATTTGCTGTTTGAAAAACGATAAGGCATTTTATATTATGAACCAACTACTTCATAATTTATTTGCTAGGATTGAGATTTTAAGCCCTGTCTTCCCCCCTCCCCACCCCGCCACTGGCTATTCTTAAATAGGGACTATGATATATGTACCTATTACGGGACTATTTAGTACTATTTAACAATCATAAAAGAGCATCATTTCTTGAGACGGTTATATTCCAGGCCCCTTACAGATGCTTCTGTGTACATTATCTAGTTTAATCCTCTTAATGACCCATCCCATCTTATGTGGAGGAAAAAACCAAGATTTAGCCCACTCCACACAGTAGCTTAACCTGGGGCTACTTCAGGCAGACTGACCCCTTCTTTAATAACTGCTCTCTCCCCAGAAGAAGGTTTTACCTTAAACCAACAATGCCCAAACTGAGCACCAAGGCACTCTGGATACTGCATCAAATTCACAAGGGCAACTTCAGGATATTTCAAAGTTTTGAGGGAAACAGTGTATTCAGCACGTTGGAAAATGCTGAACCGACCAACCAGAATTCAGTTGCAATGTCAGGTCACTTTATGCTCCTATCGATGACATTGTACACATCTTTGCAAAACCTGGGTTTTCAGTGGGTGCCGTGATAGAAAGCGAGTACTACAGAGAAGTCAATGTGGAACAGGAAATGAGAGCGGTGCAACCCAATCTATTCCCAAGATTTAGGAATTGGTACAGGCACACACATACTGCTTGTGATTGGGGTTATTTAAGAATGATATAACAATATTTTTTCTCCCAGCTTACGTGTATTTTTTTAAAAAGATTTTATTTACTTATTTGACAGAGAGAGAGCTAGCAGGAGCAGGAACACAGGCAGGGGGTGTGGGAGAAGGAAAGTATGCTCCCAGGCGATCAATGCAGGGCTGGATCCCAGGACCCTGGGATCATGACCTGAGCCAAAGGCAGACACCCAAAGACTGAGTCACTCAGGTGCCCCAATTTTTTTTTAAATAGCTTCTATGTTGTTAGGACATTAATACTTAATAGGTTGTTTGAACCCAACTAGGACGAACTACTTAAAACTACAGGCACTGTGAAAAAATTACTAAGATAATAAGGGAGCCATGAACCAAGTTTAGGAATCTTTTGCCTTAATCAAGAAGTGACAAAGTTACGCAAGATTCTCCAAGGAGAGCTGTGTGACCCTGCAAAAGTCACAAAGTCCAAAACGCAAACGTAATAACCAGGAAAAGAAGAATTTGGGTTAAAACCATTTTTAAAGGTTGCTCTCTGTCGGCTTAATCCTTCAAATCCCACACAATGTTCCCCTGGATAATTTGTATTTTTAAAAAAATTTCTCAAACATATGCACACAAATTACTGTTTTTTCATTCTTAGGGACTCAAGCAAAGCTTTTAAAAATTATAGCCTCCAAGCTATGTTGGAAGAGACTGAGCCTCCCCTGTATAGACAGAACACACCCGCAGAGCCTGTGCCAAGGAAACCTGGGGAAATCCTTGAAAGACAGACTACCACCTCCCCAGTATTCCCAGAGACTGTCAGCTTTTTTTGTGGTTTGCATCCCACTCTTAATATCCTGCTTTTAAGTTCAATAAGAATACTCCAGGTTATTGTGAAAACGCTTGTTTGGAAACTTCCCTTTCACAGAGCTTTTTATGTAGCACATAACGTGTGAAAAACAAGAAAAAAAATTAACACAAATCTAACCAGTGCTTCCTTCCAGGCAGAAGGAGGGCTGGAATGTCAATGTCATGGGGAAAGATACCGGGGGGGGGGGGGGGGGGGGCCTCCAAGGTGCTGGAGATGCTCTAGTTCTTCAGCTGGGTGATGAGTACTTAGGTGTATGGGTTCCATTCTTATTCTTTACACCGGAAGTGTAGTTTGATACTTTGTGTAGGTATATTTCACTGTAGGGATAGGGACACCATAATTTCTATGTGGTAGGGCCACCAGAGTGACAGTATGCATTGTCTCTAAGCTGAGTTGAATCACTAGCCATCAGCCTCTACTTGGGAGTAAATGCTTAACCAGAGGGCTCTGGAGAGGATGTCAGGTTTAAATGGGAAATTAGGTTAATTTTTGGTACAATCACCAAAAAACATGGAGTTAACAAATTAAAAGTTCTCTTAATATCATATTTTTCTCTTCATATAAATATATATATACATATATATATGTTTTTATTTAAGTAGTCTCTACCCAGTGTAGGGTTCCAATGCACAACCCTGAGATCAAGAGTTGCATGTTCTTCCAACTAAGCCAGGCAAGTACCCCTATATATATATAAATATATATTTATATGTGTATTTTTTAAGTAAACTCTACACCCAACATGGGCTCGAACTCACAACCCTGAGATCAAGAGTCACATGCTCCACTGACTGAGCCAGCCAGAGGCCCCATTAAATGAGCATTTTTTTATCCCCCTTGGTTCCTACCTTCCAACAATGTGCAGCTAGTTGTTTTATGGTGTCTTACTCTTCTTCACCCTCTGCAACTCTCCCCTCCCCACTTATGACCAAAAGGGTAGAAAACTCTTCCAATTTTAATTCATGTCCCTAATTAAAAAAAAAAATTCATTTGCCATATGCTAAGCACCTGCTAGGGATGGCAGAAGGAAGTTAAACATGTACGGTTGCACCTCCTACATGCAAGAACAACAGGTTGCTATTGCTCTTCAAGGGGTGGGAAATATCTCCTCAGAGACAATCAGGGCACTTGTGTACTACTGTGGACCCAGGTGTGCTTGTCTTCATTGCCAAGTTCTTTCCACTGACATTGGCCTAATAGACATGACCTACACAGATGAACAGGTTCTCCTCCAACAGGCTCACAAAAAGAATGCCTAACATTCAAGAGCACCATGCCAAGCATTTAACTTACCTTTCATTTAATCTCCACAGTACTACCCAATTATGTATAATACACCCAGTTTACAGTTTTAAAAACGAAGTTTAAGGAAATGGGTTTTCCAGGCTGGTCCAAGTGCAGTGGTGTTTACAATTAATTGATCGCAGCCAGTTACACATTTCTTGGTTCCTTCTCCGCTCCTACTGATTCATTTGACTAGCAGAAGGAAGGAAGAAAGGAAGGGAAGAAAAAAGAAATGGAGTTTCCAAAGTCACACACCTAACAAGTGGTGGAATCGAGACACAATCTCAGAACCCCAAAGCAGATCTCCACCATTGAGCCATCTCAGTGTGCCGCAGGGAAAACATTCTTGACCAGCTTTATGAAATTCAAGCCCCTCTCCTGTCACAAATACTGCTCCACACTTCCCCTCACTGTCCCCAAATCTACCGTTAGCACCGCACTTAAATCCCCAGGACGAGTGTAGGTAAACTGGCGTCTGCCCTCAAACCAACATGCCTCGCTTCCTCTGCCCGGACCCTGGGAGATGCCTCTTGCTAACTCTTCCAAGAGCTTAATTCCAGCCCGGGCGGACCTCTCCGGGACGGGAGTCCAGCCCCACCCTCCCGGGTCTGCGCCTCTTGGCAGTCCTCAAAGGGGTAAGCGGGGGGGCGGGGGGGAGAGCAGGCTGCTGGCGCGTGCGAGCCGAACCCGGTCCCTCTGAGGCCGACCCGCAGGCCCAGGGGCGGCGGAGAGCGCAAGGCGACCAACAGGGACCCTCCTTTACTCCCGCAGACCCCCAGCCACCGCATCCGGGAGAAATACCCGGTGACCCCCGCCCCCCTACCACTACTTTCCTCAAACTCTGAGCTCACTGGAGAAAGAGGAGGGGGACGAGCCAAGACGACGAAGTTCTCCACCCCGACCCAAAGTTCTACACTCCAGGGAGGCAAGGGAAGCAAAGCGATCAGAGAGGTGCCCCAGGAAGACCCCCCCGCTCCGGTCTCGGCTTTCCGGAGGCCGCAGGGGAGGGGGCAACGCGCTCCCTCTGGGTGTCCTTCCCAAGCAGTCTGCGACCTGGGGGCGCCGAGAGAGCAGCGCCCCCACCCCCGACACCGGGAGGTCCCCCGGGAGTGGGGGACGCTGGCCCTCAGATGTAGAGGGGTCTCGAAGGAACCCAGCGAGGTCGCACCGTACCTTTCCCTCGCGCGCCGGACGTCCGCGCCGCAGGGACCGCTGCCGGCGACAGGGTGGGGGGCGAGGGGAGACGACGGGGACGGGTTCCCGCAGGCTCCGGCGGCCCCTGGGCCTCGGCGCCGCCCAGCGCCGCGCCTCTCGCCGCCCGCTCGCCAGGCTGCGCCCCCGGCTCCCGCAGGTTACCTGTGGCGGAGCTCGCCGCGCCCGCAGCTCTCTCGGCCCTGGCCCCGCCCCACCCGCGGCTCCTAAAGTGGGGACGCAGCGCCGCGCAGCGGCCAGCGCCCGACACTGCGGGGACCTGTGGGAGGTGGAAGGCCCTGGGGCTGTCCCTGGGTTTCAGGCCTCTCCCAGCTGGGGCTGCTGTCCCTCCCTGGTCCGCGGAGGGTCCTCCTTCTGAAGAGTGGGAGGAAATGGGGCTGCGGTGTGGTGAGCTTTTCCGCGCACGGTTGGCCAGGAGGTTCCTTGGAGGGAGTGGGGAATTGGGAGAAAACCATCCCTCAGCCTGTGGCCAAATGGATATTTCAGTATGTTCTTTGCTCGCTTGACTGGAATGGCTCAGTGGGAGCTCAACAGTGATGAATGAAGCAGACTCATTACAGCTGGAAAAGGTAAAGAAGCCCTTGTTCCAAAGAGCTGGTTTGTAAGTAGCTCTCAGAACCATCCCAGATGATACAGACAAATGCACTGAGCATTCCTGACTCCTGTATTCAAATCACACCATACACACCGTTAACTTGGTCTGGTGTTGTCTGTTTTTCTCAGTTACTTCTTCAGCACCTAGAAGAGTTCCCTGAAGATAGTGAGCCTTAATAAAGTGAATGTGTGAATAAATGGAACCTCATTCAACCTTCCGAAGAAGCATGACTGGAAACTGCCACCCCAACACAGAAGGAGAGGGACACGGAACCCTAGAAAGGTGTCTCAGTCTTACCAAGGTTTGGAACAAGCTTATTTTGAAGCCGATTTTTCTGATCTGCTTTGAAATGGGCCTGGTTTCCGTAGGTAAAGAAACGTGATGATCTCCTTCTTTTTCTTAATGTATTTGTCTCCCTCGCTCTTTCAGGGAGCATCAGGTGGAGAGATCCAAACTCAGGCCAGGGAGGGTGAGTGCTAGATTTTCCTCTACAATTTCAGAACTTCCCCATCCCGTTGCCATGGCAGCAATCTTTCTTGGCAGGGCGTGAAACCTCTCCTGTGTGTGCTTTGACCCTCTTCAGGGTTGTTCCCATCCCTGTCGCTCTTCATCTGGAGCTGTTAGAACCCATTTCCTTTCCCTGCCCATTGGTAGCTCTGGATTTCTCTCCAGGCAACTCACCCAGTGAATTACAGGTGAACCTCCAAAGTCAAGATACATATGCATGACTTTTCAACCTGATCATTTCTTTCTTATATGTGTCCAGATTAAAGAGTTTTCTTAGCCGTTCCTTTGAATAATCGTACAGAGATAAAGAGTGCTTCCTTCCTCTGGGAAGCTTTTATAACATCACCATAAAGTCGAAATGAGATGGAGTTTTAAGTTACATTTGTGGGCAGTCGGAGCAATCATGCATTAATTCTGCTGAAAGGAACAGAAAGCTGGCCCATAAAACATGTGAATGCTCCTGGAAGCCAACTGGTCCGCAATTATTCCCAGGCTTTGACTAGTGGGAATTCCTGGCAGAGGGGCCTCGTGAGAGCCAAAGCAGACAGAGGCTGAGCTGCCTGGAGATCTTGTTTGCTCGTCTCCAAGAGGGCACACAGTCTTTGGAAAACTAATGAAAAGAGACTCTGAACCTCCCTCTATATGAGGAAGGCTCCCAGCCTACAGTCCATTCTTGTACCTCTATTCAGCTCAGTCAAAGCCCGCCTCACAGATCCACCTCACCACACCCTCTTTCTGCTTCATGAGAAGGAAGTCCGTTCTGCCAGTGATCGTTTCCCTGCTTTCTGAGAATCTAATCTGCTCTGGCATCCAGCAACATTTCTTTCATGAGTTGACTGCACTAGCTGTCATTCGTGCCATTAGCTTCAATTTGTCCTTCAGCCCACCATTCTGGCTTATAACCCCGCCACTCCCTGAAACTACCCTTGCTAAGGCTTCTACCCAGGGAAACTTCCATGGGCCTCTCCATGATCATATCCGCCTTCTCCTCTAGAGGAAACCACCATACTAAATTCTGTATTATCTTTTTCGGTTTTCAGCTTGGAGCAGGTGAAGGTGCAACTCACTTCAGTCATCCCGAGTGCAGGTTCCTCTGACAGCAGCTGTGCCCACCATGCCACCTACGTTTGACTCCAACAAGACCAAGGTTGTATACCTAAGGAACACTGGTGGAGAAGTTGGTGCCATGTCTGACCTGGCCCCTGAGATTGAACCCTTGGGTCAGTCTCCAAAAGAGTCTGGCACCAGTAATTGAAAGATCTGAGGATTACAGAGAAACTGACTATTCAGAACACACCGGCCCAGATTGAAGTAGCACCTTCTGCCTCTGCCCCAATTATCAGAGCCTTCAAGGAACTTCCAAGAGACAGAAAGAAGCAGAAAAACATTAAGCACAGTGGACGTACCAAATCTGATGAGACTGTCAACATTTCCCAGCATATGCAGCATTGATCCTTAGCCAGAGAACTCTCTGGAATCATTAAAGAGATCCTAGAGACTGCCTAGTCTGTTGGCTGCAATGTTGATGGCCGCCACCCTCGTGACATTGTAGAGGACATCAATTAAAAAAAAAAAGAAGTTGCCTGTGTGTATTAATAACTCTGTTATCACAAATAAATGTATCCCTAAACACAACATTGTACAGTTTTGCCTAGTTTTAGACTTTTTGTAAATGGAAGCAATCTGGGAGAGCGTAGGTGGCTCAGTCAGTTAAGTGGCCAACTCTTGATTTCAGCTCAGGTCATGATTTTAGGATTGTGAGATTGAGCCCCATGCAGGACTCTGCACTCAGCGGGGAGTCTGCTGGAGAGTCTTTCCTTCTGTCCTCCCCTCTCCCACACTCTTACCCCTGTTCAAGTATGCAGCAGGCACTCTCTCTCTCTCTCACTAAAATAAATAAATGAATCTCAAAAAAAAAAAAAAAAAGAATCATTCTGCATTCTTCCCATGCATTTTGCTTTTCTCACTCAGGATTCTGTTTCTGAGATTCAGCTATTCCATTTCTCTGCTATATAGTGTTTCATTGTAAGAAGATACCGCAATTTATTTATCCAGTCTACTTTTGGACATTGGGTTGGCTCCAGTTTTCGCTGTTGCAAACACTGTTGCTATGAACACTCAAATATTTCTCCCGATGCATATGTGTAAGAGTTTTCAGGATGATTATCTAGAAGTGGAATTGTTGGGTCTTAAGGAATGTAAGTGTTCAAATTTACTAGGTAGTCAGTAGTCATTACTAGGTAGTCAGTAGTCTGACTACTACTAGGTAGTCAGTAGTCAGTAGTCATTACTAGGTAATGCCAGAGTGTTTTCTTTCTTTCTTTCTTTCTTTTCAAGATTTATTTATTTGAGAGCAAGAGAGTGTGTGAGCAGGGGAGGAGCAGAGAGAGAGGGCGAGGGGCAGAGAGAGTAGGAGAAAGAGGATCCCAAGCAGGCTCCACGCTCAGCACTGACCCCGGGTTACAGGTCATGACCCTGAGATCATGACAGAAGCCAAAATCAAGAGCCAGCCAATTGACTGACCGAGCCACCCAGGTGCCCACCAAATTGTTTTCTAAACCAGTTGTATCAATTTTCATTCCTATCAACAATGTGTTTAAAGTTCCCCTTCCTCTACATCTTTGGATTGTGTGTGTGTGAAATTATTTCTTATTATAGTTGTGATTTGTATTTCTCCAATTAGCAGTACAATTGAATATCTTTAATATTTAATAATTTTTCTTGTTCTCTTTTTTGTTAATTGGTCTTGCGTTTTGCTCTACTTCATGTATTTTTTTAAGGTTTTATTTATCTATTTGAGAGAGAGAGAGACAGAGCACAAGCAGAGGAGAGGCAGAGGGAGAGGGAGAAGCAGACTCTTCACTGAGCAGAAAGCCCACCGTGGGGCTCCATCTCAGGATCTGAAGATCACGATGGAAGCAGATCTTTAACCATCTGAGCAACTCCAGAGCCTCTGTTTCATGTATTTTGAGAAATCCTTCCTGACCCTGAGGTATACAAATATTCTTCTGTATTTTCTTCCAAAAGTTTTAAAGTTTTGGGGCACCTGATTGGCTCAGTCAGTAGAGCAAGTCACTCTTCATCTCGGGATTGTGAGTTCAAGCTCCACGTTGGGTGTTGAGATTACTTTAAAAAAATAAAATCTTGGAGCACCTGGGTGGCTTGTCGTTGGTGCATCTGCCTTCGGCTGTAGTCATAATCCCAGGGTCCTTGGATTGAGCCCTGAGTAGGGAGCCTGCTTCTCCTTCTCCCTTTCCCCCTGCTTATGTTTCCTCTCTTGCTGTCTCTATCTCTATCAAATAAATAAGTAAAATCTTTAAAAAAATAAAAATAAATAAATAATAAAATATTTTTAGAAAGTTTTAAAGTTTTGCCTTTCACATTTAAGTACATATTCCATCTGAAATTCATTTCTCCTCTCATTTACAATGCCAAAGCTATCTTATAATGGATTTTCATGTATGCTTGAATCTGTTTTGGGTTCTCTATTTTGTTCCCTTTGCCTATTCCTCTTTTTTCTCCATTTGCCTGCTCCTGTGCTAGTACCATACCGCCTGAAAACTGATAGTTTTTTATTGAATCGTTATTTCTTTTTTTTTAAGATTTTATTTATTTATTCAACAGAGAGAGACATCACAAGTAGGCAGAGAGGCAGGCAAAGAGAGGGGGAAGCAGGCTCCCTGCTGAGCAGAGAGCCCAATGCAGGGCTCGATCCCAGGACCCTGAGATCATGACCTGAGCTGAAGGCAGAGGCTTAAGCCACTGAGCCACCCAGGTGCCCCTAAATCTTAATTTCTGATCATAGACGTCCTACCCTGATCTACTTCTTTTTCATAAGAAATCTCAAGTATTCTGGGGAACCTGGGTGGCTCAGTCGTTAAGCATCTGCCTTCGGCTTGGGTCATGATCCCAGGGTGCTGGGATCGAGCCCCATGTTGGGCTCCCTCCTCACTAGGAAGCCTGCTTGTCCCTCTCCCACTCCCCCTGCTTCTGTTCCTGTTCTCATTCTCTGTCAAATAAATAAATAAAATCT